CTTCTAAAGTGCTATAATTGATGTTATCGTGTATCGTAGCATACGATGTATGCACCTTTACGTGCGAATCTATCGATAGACGCTTTTTAGCTGTTCAGCGCTGCAGACACACTACGATACGGGCCTACGGAAGGCCCTGCGAATTATGCGAATTTGCGAGAAAGAGAGAGAGAGAGAGAGAGAGAGAGAGAGCGAGAGAGAGAGAGAGAGAGAGCGAGAGAGAGAAAGAGAGAGAGAAAGAAAGAGAGAGGACAAGATGAATGAGTGAGTTGATTTCTCAAAGCTGGTGTCTCAGCGTGTCATCATTTGTCAGGAGAAGACAATGTGGGAGGCTGGAAAGTGAACAGAATACTTCAGCATTTGTCAACAGAACACGCTGGTGTTTGAGAGATGTAATACTAAAACATTTGTCAACCCGACGACAATGCTGTTGGGAGGGATATATAAGACTAAACCATTTGTCAATGGACGAAATTGTTGGAGGGATGTAAGACTAAAATATTTGTCAACGGACGACATTGTTGTTCGAGGGATGTAACACTAAAAGACATTCAGCTATTGCTCTTGAATACAAAGATCCTCTAACTCTACTACGAAAGCTTCAGTTCAGTTGCAACACGAAGGAGATATGGCACCGCAGTTCGCAAATCCCTCAAGTATTCTCCCGCACGTATATACCTTGTTATCTTCAGCGAACAGATTTGTTTAGCGCTCGGCAAGCCTCCAATATCTGCCTCCGACGTTGCGTCGACACGATTCATATCTTTCTCTCTCGCGCTAGAATTTAAATGTACGTCGAAATCAAGTTGGGGGAAAGCACATTTTCGCGTACAACTCGCGTGCATGGATGGGTGTACGTATGCCGTGCATGGTAAAAAAAACAACTTGCTAACTTTGTGTAGCATTTTCTCAACATAACGTTTATGTATAATGGCATCATTCAACCAGCAAATCAAATCCGCGGGGGGGGGGGGACACAGTAGCACTGTGCTCCCGTAGAGGCTGTCCAGGCCTCATTTTCACGCATGTCGCGTATCGTAAAGCGGTTAAATATACGACGTGCTTGTATGCGACAGTGGAATATTCCCGGTCTGTTCAACAGCATATAGCAGTTGATGCTAACTAACCGAACGTGTCACCTAGCTTTCGTTAAGTGACACATTAAAAAAGGTATTGTTGCGGGTTGCCGCTGTGTTGACGCACAGGCGCATTGAGACGAATGTTTTCACTGGGGAAGTAGGAAAACTTTGCGTGTAGAGGAAACGATCTAATTGTCTAGGTTGATTTGACAGAAGCTGTAGCGCGTGTTTGCGTACCGTAATTTTCCCCTGCGACGCCGCCATTTTCTAATTGCGTGATTGTGATGAATGAGATTATAATAGATTATAATTTACATTCGACCCGCAATTACGTCCGTTTTTAATGAACTTAGAACACGTGAGTCACGGCAACGTAAACTTCGAAAATTTAACTTAAAAAATAACGATAACTCAATGGTAATTGGCCGTCACATAAATTACTCGGCCGCAGAAAATACTCCGCCACAGAAAATACTCGGCCACAAAAAAATACTCAGCCACAAAAAATACTCTGCCCCACGTAGTATCGGCAACCACCCGCGATCGCCTCAGCGTTACCCGCGGACACCGCCACCGTTAAAAAAATGCGAGGGTCCGAAAGTCCAATATACGGCGGAGTAGCATCTCTCGCCTCGGACGGCCTCGCTGTACTCGTTATACCACGCTTGAGTACGCTACTTTGCTACTTTACTTTTACTTTACTTTTTACTTTCGTTTGCTGGTTTGAATAGTGCGTAAGATAGGCAAGGCAGGTAAAGCTGGGTTTACACTACCGACTTTTATGTTGGCGAATTGGACCAACTTCCCAACTATACAACCGGCAATCGGCAGTGTAACCGAAAAAGTTGCCCAACCAACCGATCGATAGCAACTAGTTGGGAGATTAGAACATGCTCTATTTTCGCCAACTCGAAGTTGCCGAATTGGGGAGTTGATCCAACTCGTCAATTCGCCAACATAAAGTCGGTAGTGTAAACCCAGCGTAAGGCAGCTCGGCGGGTGGGTGTGCACCGAAATTCGTACCTGCCCGATGACGAAGAAGATGCCAATGAAACTCGGGTGACTAAAACAGGTGTAAAAACGGGCCGCTCTGTGAAGGGCGTCGGGTCGTTTGCTCAGCACGTATTAAGTAGCAGCGAGCACAGATAGCGTCAAGTAGTAGCTTATCATAGCAAATACAAAGGTGAGGGAGCTGTTTGACTTTCACACGCCGCGCTCGGCTGGGAAGCGATGCCCTAGGAGAGTAGGAGACTCGCCGTGGCGTCTCCCGGACCCCCTCTCCCCTTCTCCCCTTCCCCGCGCGGGTCGCGAAAGAGGAGATGAGTGAGGTACGGACGCGCGGGACGGTATGAGCGAGATAAGGTCGTGCTCTTTCTCTCTCTCTCTCTCTCTCTTCTCTCCTCTCTCTCTCTCTCTCTTCTCTCTCTCTCTCTCTCTCTCTCTCTCTCATCTCTCTCTTCTCTCTCTCTCTCTCCTCTCTCGCTCTCCTCTCTCTGCTTCCTCTCTCTG